CTCTATTCTAGTCATGTCTTAAACTAACCAATCAGAGAGCTCTATTCTAGTCATGCCTTAATCTAACCAATCAGAGAGCTCTATTCTAGTCATGTCTTAAACTAACCAATCAGAGAGCTCTATTCTAGTCATGTCTTAATCTAACCAATCAGAGAGCTCTATTCTAGTCATGTCTTAATCTAACCAGAGCTATATTCTTGAAACATGACTGAAATATCCAATCAGACAACTTTATATAACATATTAAGACAGTACAAGAATCGTAGGTCAGGCTCTCGGAATGTGGGAATTTTACATTTTGTACACTAAGAGAATGCGTGAAACAACAAGCCAGTAGCACATGATTGCATTGCAGCTAGTCGTTGTTCTTACCACTGTTCACAGTTAATGGTGGAATACTCTCGCGGCTGAAATACAGGTCTCATCAACACATAGTAAGGAATGTAAAGAATGTGGTATCTCTTGGTTGCTATGGCAACACACTACTACTTCTTGTATAGACCGTGCTCGTCTTATAAGAGTCAGAATATAATCTTTATTATCTCTTTAATCAATAAAGTGGGAAAAGGGCGCAAATAATCGAATTATTTCGTTTAACGCAACGGTCCATGTCAGTACATTTTGTCCATCATTTCGTCTGTCGAAACTTATCAATAATAATTAATAAGTGTCCAGTTCAACTTTAAATAACCAATGTAGCTAGTGAGCAGAAGAGTATCACAAGATTGAGATGACTTCTGATGGATGGAGCGAGGATATCCGTCTTGCTAGCTCTGTAATGTTAACATGTAGTATGTACTGTAATGTAACAGTGTCTAGTTATTGTAATGTTATCTTCAGCGGCGGAAAGGGGACGAGTAAAGTGCTCCAATTGGGCAAGTGGAAGGCTGACTGGAACAGTGCTAAAAAGGCCAGCAGCTAAGCACTAAAGCACAACTGACAACGGGGAAAGTGCTCCAAAGGGCAAATTAAAGTATTTGACAACTGAGATGACAGAAAGATTATCTGAGATTTTGAAGAGGACTCCTAATGTGTGATTGACTGAGAAATACTTCGATGTAGGAAGTAACGGGATAAAATATGGGTAGTAAGTAACGGGATAAAATTTAGGTAGGAAGTAACGGTATAAAATATGGGTAGGAAGTAACGGTATAAAATATGGGTAGGAAGTAACGCTATAAAATATGGGTAGTAAGTAACGGGATAAAATATGGGTAGAAAGTAACGGGATAAAATATGGGTAGGAAGTAACGGGATAAAATATGGGTAGGAAGTAACGGGATAAAATATGGGTAGGAAGTAACGGTATAAAATATGGGTAGGAAGTAACGGGATAAAATATGGGTAGGAAGTAACGGGATAAAATATGGGTAGGAAGTAACGGGATAAAATATGGGTAGGAAGTAACGGTATAAAATATGGGTAGGAAGTAACGGTATAAAATATGGGTAGGAAGTAACGGGATAAAATATGGGTAGGAAGTAACGGTACAAAATATGGGTAGGAAGTAACGGGATAAAATATGGGTAGGAAGTAACGGGATAAAATATGGGTAGGAAGTAACGGTATAAAATATGGGTAGGAAGTAACGGTATAAAATATGGGTAGGAAGTAACGGGATAAAATATGGGTAGGAAGTAACGGGATAAAATATGCTCACTGAAATTAGGATGAGACTCACTTGGACTCGCTTCAAAGACTAATCTCCTTGGAACATCCGCAAGATTCTGAACAAGGGAAATTCAATAATCTCGTTGTTATATGCCACGAGAATGCTCGGTAACTGTGAGGTTTGGATTGAAGTGGATGTTTAAACCTACCTTGCTTGATAAGGACATTGTATTTTAAATAGAAACTATAAAAATATGACGCAACGGCAACTCCACGAAAAAAGAAAACCTCAATCGAGTAAACAGTCCTGTGGCTAACAACTACAAACTTTAAACAAACACCTACGTCAGTGTTCTATACGTCAGTGTTGTATGCGTCAGTGTTCTATGCGTCAGTGTTTTATACGTCAGTGTTCTATGCGTAAGTGTTCTATGCGTCAGTGTTCTATGCGTCAGTGTTTTATACGTCAGTGTTCTATAATCTATACGTCAGTGCGATGGAGCAGGCGGTTGCTGTCGCGCGCAGCCTCAGGACTGACGTAGTTGTTCTTGTCGTGAATCAATGTGTTGTTGCGACTGTCAGTAAGATAAGAGTGTACGCTGCCTCCTTCAATGCGGCGGCTGTCAGGACGGCGGTCCTGGAAGTTTAGTCCGTCGTCGGTGAGGTGGTAGCCACCCCCATTGTGTAGCAAGTCCTGTGTGGTGAGGGTTAGTGGCTCACTGTCTTGGCATCAGTTAGCAGAGCTAGAGGGTTTAATTAATTCTACAGAGCTTTTAAACGAATTTAGAATAAGTTAATTAAATCCTTAGTCCTTTGAAGATTGTTCAGTAATAATAATTTTGCAGGGAGAGCTTCAATTCAAATCTAATAAATGATGCTTCACCGTCATATCACACTTAGTATTGGTGATGGCACTGTTTTGTGAGGTCGGGTGTCACTGGGCTGCGTGTCATATTCGTTTGTTTACGTCACGCGTTACACTGTCACGCAAAAGCCGTTAGTCACGAGGCATACACAAAATAGCAGCATAATTTATGTCTTGGTGTAAAATATAAATATTTAAAAACTACTACATATTATGTTTATATACTATATATAATATGCTTATTATGAGCATCTTGGAATCAGGGCCTGAAGTTTAAGAAACATAACTTTACGAGAACTTTAGCCATTTTTAAACACAATGTTACAAACAAATATAAACATTTTGGAAACGAATTTTATAAAACCAGCAATTTAACACGGGTACAAAATATTTTAAGTATAATTTTAATGATTAGCAAAATACCACTTTTTATGTTTTACAGGAGTATAAATGTCGTTAAAATAAGTAAATGATGAGAATGAATCTAGATGGGTATGCTTGAACAGCGGAGTTAATGTAGCGAAAACAGGCCTGCTCGGGTCCTATAAACACATGCAGTTTCTGTTGAAACTCGGTAAACAACGTCAGGTTAGCAAGAGAAGCAGTTCAGAAATAGTTCTTAAGATAAAAAAGGGTTCCTGAAAGGTGCCACATAGTTGTAACCAGGTACACCTCAGAGGTAAGGAGTAGTTGTGTCCGTATCTCCGTTCGCAGTGGTTCCGATGTCATCGTACGAGCTCTCCCTGTAACACTTCCGGAAGGGCCCCGCCTTGATCGACTGAAGGACGAGGGGAATAAGGAACTGTAGGAGGTTGTTCTGTACTCATGCATCATTACTACAGAGCGTCACCAGTCACCCACAGTACTTTGCACGTGACTATATGTTATGCCAGCAGATCCAGCGGATTACTTTGAACTGGATCCATGCAAACAGAGGGACAGTCAGTAGTATTTGACTACTAAAGTCAGGTTGAAGAGGATATATGTGTGAGCATGCACCCAAGATACGGAAAGCTGGCACATTGCCAGGCACAAGTACTAAGCATGCAGATCTAAGCATGAACATTGACAATATGAAAATCAAAGTCGCCTTCAGTAGAATAACGAGTGATATGAATCAAAGACTGTCATGAACAAGTCAAGTAGTTTGTATATTTGTTTGTCAGGTAGTTTCTATGTTAGTTTGTCAAGTAGTTTTTATGTTTGTTCGTCAGGTTTGTGAAGAGTCTGTTTTTGTGTGTCTGTCCGTCTGAGTGTCAGTCTAGTGCACGTGTTTGTAACCGTAGCACAATCCGCATCGTCGTGACTGTGATAAAGTAAGTATCAATAGAAATATATTTAACGTCATGCTGTTAGACCTAAGTCTCTATTCGAACAATAATTTGTAGGTTTTCATATCATCAGTGTCGCTACAAAGGTTACCATGGTTACAATCAGTGTTCAAAGGGGGCTAAAATCATTTAAAGAGGTTCGATCATGTGAAATGAGGGTATTGATGATGTATAAAATTGGAATTGAGCCAGCAGAGAGGTCAATGCAATAAAGCCCCCTCTGAAAACTGAAGCAGGCAAAAAATCCTCCAATTATCTTTTCTCTACAATTTTTCAGAAGTCGATTAGAAGCAACATTTTATCTTTTATTATTGTCTATTAACTGATTATTACGATATTTATTTTAGCTAATTTGATAATTTTGAAAATTTCATATCCTGTATCATTTCTTTGAGTTAATTCATTTGACTTTTTGAAACGTTTTTCTTCATTTGATGGATAATTTTTGCGAAGTTGACGCCCAGGAACCATTTAGAGTTGCTCCAATCCCAGGCAGCACAAAGTTGGTATCAGTGATCCAAAAAGTAGATAAATTAAAACAAACAGAAAAACAAACAGAGGGGGCTTTATTAAAATGTAGTGACCTCTCTAAAGTGAATTTTAAATCGTTGCTAGCTTTTAGCTTATTAGCAGACGAGCTGATCTTTAGGGAATGCTAACAATTCTTAGTTATCCCTATTTTGAAAAATGCAGAAAGAATGTAAAGATTACTCAGATAGAAGACTCTATTGCCCAAAGACGGGTATACAAAAAAGATGACCGCTTTTCATCCCAGAAGAGTAAAGGTGCAAGATGCAAGAGGTGGGTGGTGCTGTATTACTCACAAAACAAGACTATGTGCTCGAGAAGAAAGTACTACTAAAGGCTCTCATTTGATACAGCCGCCGTAGCACTATAAATCGGTGGCATTCCCATTAACTTATGCTGAGGAGTATCTCACAATATATTACTAAAGTAATCAAGGGAGTGACCAAAAATAGGGAAATTATTAAAGCAAGCGTCGCTAAGTATCACTAGTAGTACTAAGAACTCAGCTATTTAAAAACTTGTTAGAACGATAGGATGGTGTGTTGCAGTAGAACGATACAGCTCAAGGCTTAAAAGTGCTCGTTACAGCTTGTTCAAACAGCCCTCGAAATTTCAGCACCGCGGGCGGAGTAGCCCAGCTGTTGTGCGAATGTGAAGGAACTTACCGAGCAGCTGATGACCAGACCCAGAGCCATGCCGATCAGCACATAGACAGCAGCCATACCCGAGAAGGCTCCCACGATCGCAATATTGGTGGTCCTAGCATCACCTTCTGCACTCTTGTACACATCAAACGCCTGAAATTGAAATTTAAATGATGAATGTGTAAAAATGTCGAGGAACTAGGGACTATCTTATTCATCTTTCGAAACAAGAAGTTTGGTGTGTTCTGAAAACATACCTTGACTCCGTAGAAGGCGGTCACACCCAGCGCAGCAAGCGAGAAGAAAATGAGAACGGAGATGTAGACGAAGAGGTAGGGGCGACTGTGGAGACATTTGAACGGTTTTCTCAGCTCTCCCAAGATGTTCTCTCCAGACACGATTATCTGAAAGTAAATCTGATTAAAGGAGGGTTGTTAGGGGGAGCATTTGCTGTGTTGCATTTGTCTGTCCCTCCCTCCCTTGCGATCGAATTAGATGTTTGCTGTTACAAGAATTGAAACTAACCTTTCTTTGAGCGAGGATCTGGAAAAGTGCGAAGAGGTAGAATAGTACGATGAGAACATAGATGCCCTCCACTCCGATTGAGTTGAAGAAAGTCTGCTGGTAATACTCCCTCAAAAGCATGTAGAGACAGTACCCAGAGAAGACAGCAAGCAGCACGATGAACAGAAACACCACCCACACAAATGTTGGGAAACAAATGGTCCTGCAACACCCCTCCTGTAAAATAGCAGTGTTATTCGTTACATTTTTTGCCTTTTCGTATTTTTTTGAAGCATCGTCATTCGTCTTAGCTTGTTGACGAACACAAAACTTTCTTAAAACGCGATTTATTTATTTATGACGAAGAAATGAACCGCCTTAAAAAGCGCGGCTTGCGCGCCACTGCGCGTCGACTATCTTCTAACAGGAGTGTAATAAAACACATAAACCTCAAAGCCGCGTGTTCCAACGGAATTCGGAGTTTTTCCCCAAGGAGTTTGGACCGATCTTAAGACAGCCCCGAGGCCCGATCGCAATGTTAATACATACAAGAAGGAAGCGATAAACCTTATAACATCGAATACTTAACGAATCACAAACGCACAACACTTAGCAAGTTACAGCTTACACGGGACAATTAATTACAAAAATCTTTTGACACAATGTTTAGACACGTTGAAAAAGTTCACGTGCAGGTGTTATGAAGTGTAAACATCTTCAACATAAGTGCTCAGATTCATTTAACCTTGATATAAGATCAATTACATACTCTTTATCAATTATCGAGTAACGTGTATGAAGTGGTATAAAAATGGAATTAAGGTTAGTAATTAAGTAAAACCAGGTCAAGATAACCGCACTGTAAACTTATACGTTGAGTACATGTTACATACTTTACATACGTTACATACATTACATACATTACATACTATATATAAACGTGTAATCAAACACTCTACATTGGAAAAAGTGGGCGTTTAAAACATGAGTGTAAACCAGGTATTTCATATCATCAGCTGTAGGAACAGTACAGTGATTCTATAAATATAAGTGATGAAACAAAGCCATACAGTTTACAGGATCCTCCGGTAGAAAAGTCTGACGTCACAGTCTGACGTCACAGTACGGTACGTTTAGTTGCAAATGTTAAACACAACCATACATTTTTCAAATCCTTTTAATGTGTTGAAAATCGTGTTCGTTAATACAAAGTGGTTACTACAGAGCGTCTCATTGGTTACTACAGATAGCCTCACTATATACAGCGAGTATAAGGCATTTGTAAACTTCATAACACGTTACGTTTCCGTGTATTAGTAGCGTGTATAGTGTAATGTGTATACCAAGTGTACAATGTTATATTTGTGAAAAAACATCGAGAATCTTCTCTTGGTCACCTGAGGAGGTCTGTGGTGACCATTGGCGTGTGCAGGGGGGGGGGGGGGGGGTGGCATGCGCAGGGGGGTGACTTGCGCAGGGGGGTGGCGTGCGCAGGGGGGTGTTACTTCTTAAAACTACGCTTTACATCTCAGTTTACCACTTACCAGCTGATTTTAATTCCAACTTTTCGCAACAGACGGCATATAAATATTAGATGATATAATAATAATAAATTGAAGTTTAATAAGTGATTAACATCCCGTTGACTGTTCATCGATATGGTTGGTGTGTAATACCATTATAGTACGTGGGTTTTCTATTCTTCTATTGTGTTCTATAATCAGTAATGTTGCCCTGTTCTGCATCTTCAACCAAAGGCAAAAGCATCATGATTTTCTCGTTAATTTGCAACTTGAGTCCGAAATCTTTTACTTTTATTTGCTATGATTGTTGAAAACTGTGAAGCTTCGTGAAAAGCGCCCGCTTGTGGATATAATATAATATAACATACTCGCCTCGCGGGCGGAATTTCGTATAGCACTCGGGCCGAACGGGCCCTCCGGGCTATACGAAGATATGTCGTCCTCGGGCTGGCGCCCGAGACATATACATCTATACTATAATTTAAACTTGACAAAATTTCCCCGGCAACGGGGACATAGAAGAAAAAACACCGAAAATCGACCTCAAAATGACCCTCTGGTGAAATCAAACCCAGCTCGCAAATGGAGTTGAAACCTCGCCATTTTTAGCAGGGTTGTAGAAAAAGGATAGGAATAGGCTATAGCATTCTTAGAATTTTCAGGGTGAGAATCCTTGTCACGTTATTGGTCAGCTTCGCCGGGGCTCATGTCTTTCCTCGAGGGAGCATTAGTGTCTACAGAAAAACTGACAAATCCTAGCGAAGTCCAATCCGAACCACATCTTCCATCAGAGGTGGTGCTGGGTCAGTTAACCATAGAGGGGGTCAGGCACTGTACGCTCACGGCTGGTTCTTGGAGCCAACACTCTCAGCCCCACAGAAGTGGGAGCACTGTCGGTGGTGGCACACCCAGAAAACGGACAGTGTCTCTCCTTCTCTCTTCTTGGACCTGCATTGCTGCTGGCGAGTCAGCCAGTAGCAATGCAGCATCTCACTCACTCAATCACATCAGCAGTTCAAACACAGAGACTGGCACTCTCTACTCCGCCACGGAAAGTGGACAAAAATAACCCATCCAGTCATGGAAAAATGACATTATTGAACCAGCCGCAAAACCATGTTAAACCACGGAATATTACTAAAACTCCAAAGCGAGCGCTCTACAACAGGAAGAATCTGGAAAGCGCCAAGACAAACCAGTATAGAAAGGACCAAAATCAGCACTCCACGAGAGCGCGAGACAGCCGCGCGCAGCATAACAAAACAATCTGAAACAAAGGGACGTCAAAAGTTAAATACACCAAAGATAAACCAAAGGAACATCACACCAGGGTTCGAGTTTAATTTCATCCCAACTCGATCCTCCAAAATACTAAAAGCACGACACAACCTCGAGGATCACCAGGGCAGGCCCGCTAGCATAATGCGGTGGTAGTTCCTCGAAGTAACGCACTACCTTTTCCGGGAGGGTGTTTCGACACCTGACTCCAGACGGGTTCTATGGAGTCTCTCGATGACGGATCATTATGGCAGATAACCTTAGGGTCATCGCCGATCCACCGGGTCATAACTATGTTATGTCTTTTGGACGTACCGGGCTCTGCGAACCCCATGCCAAGCAGAGCAAAAGGTACAAAGCCTGCAGTCCAAAGGAGCTCCATCAGACGTTAGCCACAAGGCGGACGTAGCCTCCTTGCTAATCCGGGGAGGTAGAGTGAGCGCCCTCGACAAAAAAAAAAAAAAAAAAATTCTTAGAATTTTGATTTAGGCTTTAGATTTTTTATAATTAACGTCGGAAGTGAGGTAAAATAACCGTTAGAATAATGTCGTTATTTTAGCAAAGGTTTACTGCGCTGTTGCGTAGCAACGTTAAAATGCACGTGCGCGAGCAAAAACATCTTAACTACGCGCGTTGTTATGCTGTATGCTACGTCATAATTTCAAAAATAGCTCACATTTACGCTCACGCTATGACTTATATTCATAACTTTGGTTGTGATTGGTATTTTTTGATGCGGTAAAAAGTATCGTTTTGGGAATCCGAATACTAACAACGCTGTCGCCATTGTTAGATAAATTCCATTATGTCTACAGTATAACAGAGCTATATGATGAAGAGAAATTAAAACATAACTGATTTTTAAAATTTCCTTGAACAAAGCTTTCGACTAGCGGGTTTCTAGTATAATATATCGCACGCGCAGGGGCGTGCGATATAAATTTCCGCCCGCTGAGTTTTATTGTAACAGAACGTGTTAGGGGGGGGGGGGGGGAACTAAGCAATCTTCATTTTAACCAGTTCTCACTCACCTTTTCTTGCTGTATTTTAAATCACAAGTCTACGCTATGTTATTATAAATAACACATTTAATTCTTGTTAATGTGGATAATGTGAGATAGTAATAGTACTACTGTAACTAATGTGAGGTAAATGTAAATATGCGTTCGTTATCATTTTACCACGTAAAATAACATATGAGAGTTGAATATTTCATAAGCTCTTCTCAAACTTGCTGACATGTCACTCACTAAACATTCCTTCTAGAACAAAACATGGTTGAAGGGTCATAACAAATAAACATTTATATTCCTTCTAGAACAAAACATGTTTGAAGGGTCATAACAAACTTACATTTATATTCCTTCTAGAACAAAACATGGTTGAAGGGTCATAACAAATTAACATTTATATTCCTTCTAGAACAAAACATGGTTGAAGGGTCATAACCCCCCGCCCCTTATACTATAAATACTCTTTATGACTCAAGCTCCAGCGCAGTGTGTATAAAACGACTGTACGAGGTCCCCTGCTGTATACTGCTGGCGACAATGTTATTGTTTAACAGGTGTCGGACCTTGTATTTGGTGACACAGTACAAATTCCTGTTGTAATAGCTGGTGAATACTGAATATGTCATTTGTCGCTCACTCCCCTACTCGCTTGATAATTACAACATTTTTTTGAGAGCAGACGGGGGGGGGGGTTAGGTCACACAACACATGCTGAACAACATGTATGTTAACTAATTAAAAGGAGAACTAATTGTTAGATGTTATATAAAATCATTAGAATAAAAGCGTATAAACGGATAAAGACTGCGATTTCCTCAAGGTGACAAGGTTAATAGTAATAGGTAAGGTACTTTAGAGATTATCCCTTTTTTGGCAAAACTTTAATACAGCTAGTAGTTTGTCCACACAGCTACAAAACCTCCTTGCTTCTTGACTGATCAAAGCAATCTCAGCTCTACACAGTCACCGATTTGGAAAGGTGTTTCTATTAGAGCTGAAGAAGCAGACAAGAAATAAAACCGTCATGAGACGCTCACAAATGAGCGGGGGGAGGGGGCAGGGGGAAGGGGGGGGGGGGGGTGGGCGGGGTCAACCCAGCATGCACAAGAATAATACTGCAGTATTACAAACAAATGTTGGTTGAGCAATGAAGTGACCTGATAACATGGGGCAATATATTCTAGATATTTTATTTATTTTTCAACAGACGACAACTTCCTGTTTTTTCTTCTATATTAGTTACTCATATCTCTTTTACAGACTTTTTTACAAGGACATTGACAGATGATACTCACATTAGGCATTCATTATTGCATCTAAATTATTTCACTTGCATTAGGTTTAGGAAAACAAATTTTTTTTTTTTAGAAATTTATTCTCTGGTTAACAGATTTCAAATGTTTAATTAATTTGTAGTATGACA